TTATTTATCACTGGTGCCAGTTATTTATCACTGGTGCCAGTTATTTACATGAAATCTGGTTGTGCAAGTGCAAAGTGAAGCAGCTCTTCTTTGTTCGCACGTTCCCCTTCCTGAAAGAAAGTCTTAATATTTTTGCAACATCATATTTTGAAATAACTGTGCAATGGGTACTTGATGGCGATGAAAAAGATTAAATTATAACATTTGCACAAACAACTATGAAATTTAGAAGATTACTTGGACGTCATCAATCTGCTGTGGAGGTGTCGGATCAGAGTAAAGAAGGTTAGTGTGTGGGGTCTGAGAACTGACCAGACCGCACCAGAGGTGCTCCAGCTGCTTACAGTTGTAACAGCTACACAGTTTATGTGAATGGGCAGAGAAAAGGTTCATGAAGACGCCCCGTGAACCACCAAGAAGCTGCGAGGAGTGGAGCTGTTTAAGATGGCAGCGACCCACCTCAGTCCAAGCAGAACCAAACTCTGTTTGTCTAAAGTGAGGCCGTTCACGGAGACACCTGCAACAGACAGGATCACAGCTTTGTGTAAAACACCACTGACAAGTGGCAGGAATATCCCTTTAAACATTCGTACAAACTGATGACTGAGCCCGCTGACGACTGAAACACCGACAGAAACGACGTCTTGTGTTTTGAAAACGAGAATCGTGCTGGCATCAAAAGAAAGGTGAAGTGCAGCTTCAGGAAGCGTCACCGGGCTGCGACCGTCAACAGCGTTGACAGGAGAAATGTGCTGAAAACGTTTGCAGGGATTCACAACTTCATCAGCTCAAGCTCACCGTCACTTCAAGTTTTATTTATTCTTTTGAATAAAACGAAGCTACAAACTTTCTCCAGACATAGTTGCGGTGTAGCTGCTGGGCATCTTCAGCACGTCTCCAGAGCTGGACGCTGAACGTCCAGAACTGAAAGTGGACCTGTTCTCCGTTTTCAGGAACCATCTAGACTCCGACAATCGCAGCTCGGTGAGTTGGACCTTTGCTGTCCCAGAACTTACACTGTTGATCATTTTCACAAGATTACTATCGAAATGTTTACAATAAGTGCAAATTGGTTCTTGAGGAGCAGCTCCTTGACCTTGAGAGCAGTTGAGGCGTGAGGACCACACCTCCTACAGTTCAGTTTCTGTCCCTGCCTTGCATTTGTCTAAACTGCATGAGTTTGTCCACAACTCGTTTTCTCCTCAGACCCTCCGGGTCACTTGTCAGAGTTTTTGCGCGGCATGCGGAAGCTGGACGGGTTCTCATTTAGTGCATAGATGCGCCTGGAGAACTCCTCAAAGACGGCCAGCTCCCCCAGCACCTGCTCGTCACACTCTACAGCCACGGCGTGGTCCACGGGGATGCAGTGGTAGTCTTCCAGCCGGGCCTCGTCTGCTAACCCCACCCCCAGGCCCAACCCTGTGGCCTCCGTGCCCATGATCTCCTCGGCCTGTTCCACAGAGCAGAGCGGCTCTGGGACCGGACCGACCGGTGTCTGTCCCGGCAGTAACGAACCATTCATGTGCTGGACAGACGAAACGGTTTCATCGCCGACATCCTGTTTCAAACCAGCATTAGACGCACCTGTGCTGCTGGGTGGCTGCTCTTTAACCCCCCCCTCATCTGCTTCAGTCTCTTTGTCTTCCTCCTCTCTTACATTTGTATCCCCACTCTTCTCCACGTCCTCCTCCTGCTCTCCAGCCTGGTTGGCCTCCCTCGTCGGGGGGATGTTAAGAGCGGCCATGCTGGCATTAAGTGAGGACGACAGCTGTTTGGGTGCTGGTAAAGGGGGGGACAGGCTAACGGGAGGCTGCTCTTCACCCGAGGCTGCGTGGTTGCTCTGAGGAGGTGGCAACTTATATTTGAGCTGTGCTTCATCCTCCGAGCTCGCCCTCTTCCTCACGCCTCGCTCTGGAGAGCCGTCCTGGTAGGGGTAGCTCATTTCTGAGGCTGCGGACACACTCAGCTGGGGTTTTACGGGCACTGGGATTGAGCTGGAGACGTGATGTCTGTCGCTGTAAAAACCAGAAGAAACTCTAATAAGTGAGAGTTCGACAGCACAGTGCAGACAACAGCCTAGAGGGTGACACTGTAAAGCTCATCACACGTTCATTTTAAAACACTGCCTTATTCCAGACTCTTTTTATTTGTCCAAATGTTCAGCTATTTTAGATGTTAAAATGTGCACGTAAGCTGAGGATGTTTATACAGTCATGACTATTTTATCTGTGATACTGAAACCTTATAAAAACTACAAGCTGTGTGCAAACTGTGAAAAGAATAGTCCATGGTTGTAATAACAGAGTTAAAGGACAGTCTGGTAATTTCTGAAGTGATGCTCTATCAACTACATTAATAATATCAAAGTTCATGCTCAATAATCCAGGTAGAAAAATTAAGTCAGGTCCTCTAGACGGTTTCTTGTTGTTGAAACGTTTCGTCTTTCATCCAAAGGACTTCTTCAGTCCAAGGAGCTGCAACAAACAGTCTTAAAAATAGACCTTCACATGGTGCTCAGACAGTTTCTGAAAATAGAAGAGAAAAAAAAACATCCAGAGGACCTGACTTAACTTTGTTGGATTCATCTACCTGATTTATTGAGCATGAACTTTGTTATCCTGAACCACTTTGGCCATGACTGCCTCAGAGGAGTCAGCGGGGGAGAGGGCGGACTCCAGAAACCATTTTAGCACCATAAAACTGTGAAGGTGCTATTTACAAGACTGAGTTTGTTGTAGCTCCTCAGACTGAAGAAGTCCTTTGGATGAAAGACGAAACGTTTTAACAAAAATAACCCGTCCAGAGGATCTGACTTAACTTTGATGGGTTCTGTCAAATAGTTACCGTAGTTAATCGTATCAGCTGTGACATCAGCCAAAGAAAAGAGATTGTGCAGAAAAGGGCACAAAGGGCGAAAACAATTGTCCATGCTAGGCTAATGCTAGCCAAACTGTTTTTCATGAAAACTATACTGACTACTGATATTAGCTAATATTAAACCTCTAGACTTTTGTTCGACACAGTTTGTTTAGCTCGTTGTCATTTTCTCAGCTGACCGTCCACGTTACTATGTGCATGTTCTGAACGTATGCAGATGGTGCTGAGGCTGCTGAATGTCAAGGTTGAGAAAACAGTGACAAAGTAATCAGTAGCTGTCAAGCAAAAGTGTAACAATTAAACACAAACTAATATAATGTTTGAGAAAGAGCGGTTTTATAAACTGGAATAATGATAACAGGCCCTCGTTTAGTTAGCTATTAGCCTAGCCTGAAGGAAAACGTTAGCCCTATTTTCTGTGATCTGTAACTGACACCATTGATAACTGTTGACAGAACATAATTTAAAAATTACCAGACTATCTTTTTAAAGCTCATCAGCACCAGTCATCCCTACCCCAGGTCTTTGTTCCTAATCCAGAGGCAGCTGCAGCTGTTTGCAAATCTCTCCACCTAACAGCATTCAGAAAACATTTGTGCAGCAGCGAGACTACGCTCGTGTCGTGCCGACTAGAAAAGCACGGCAGGCGTCCACCCAGCTATGTCAGAAATTTTCTTCCAAAACCGATAACAGACTCAGGATCTGGAACACCCCACCCATGTCCCAGATGAAGCCATAAATCTACCTAAACGGGGAGGCCTCAACGCCCTTTCCAATAGTCAAGGCCATGTATAACTCAGTGGACTCTGGATACTCTGGTTAGTGTGACTGTTTTGCTGTCAGGGAAGAAGAGGCTCAATTACAGACTCACATGTGTTGGTAAAAGTCTTGAGGACAGGTCTTTGCTTGTTCAGTTGGACGTGCTGTCATAATAGATAACTCTGCTGTTACCAGGCCTTAGCCAAGGCAGTCTAGTTTGTAAGAGTGGTGCTTAGATACCAGCGATGAGTGTGCATGCCTTCATCATGCATTAGCCAACAGTGTGATGGATGGTTTTACTACCACACACGACAGCTTGTCAAATGGACCCGGAGCTCGACCCCTGCAGACACCCTGCTGAGGTGGTCCTGACAGGGTTCACAGGCAGGACACCCTGCTGAGAACAGGAGAAACCTGTCCTGTGTTAAGACAAACTTGTCAACTTCAAAGTGTGTATATTACAGTAAATCAGATCCATCTAGGGTGCAAAGGTACAGTCTGTTCAAAGTGTGGAGAAGCAGCAAGTCATGGCCGACATTTCAACTAAATGAACGGTGCTTTCTTTATCTGGCACTGCAAATCATTCAAAGCACAACTTAATACAACTGCAGCCCCATAACTGCACGAGAAGTTAAAACAAGAAAACAACGGGGGAAAAAATATTTTTTTACATAATGTCCCATCTTTTCTGGTGTTGTGTTTTCCCTTCTTCTCCACTGATGGCAGCTGTCTAAATATAATCAGCCTAGAGTACATCTTGTAACACAAAAGTCTTCTTGCCAAGTTTTCTCACTGTATGGGGTTTTGGGGAACATCACATCTTTCAGCTGTGTGTTAAATCTCCTGGCCACACCTTGCCTCCCACTTTGACTCTTAATCCCACTGTGCTACTTTCAGGCAATAGAACGAGACTGGAAGTCTGTAAAAGTCTACTAGGCCTTAAGTGGATGTGTTTTTCATTCAGAGCTGTCTTGTATTTATTCTGACAGGTAACAATGGGTTCCTGATCAACAGCTGGCCAGATGAGCATTAAAAATACAACTCTTTGTAGTTGACTCCTTCATTCTAACATGCACGGTTCTTGTCCTCAGTGTTCCATTTGTTCTCGATAACATGTCAGAGATAATCCCAGTTTGCCCTCATGGTGCGTGTCTCGGTGCTTTGTAGAGGATCTCCCTGCAGACAGGACACATGCTGAACTAGTTATATATGGAGAATCGAGCTGCGTCCAAGTTTACTTCAGAAACAATACCCACTCCCTCCCCACCACCCAAAGCACCCTTCGTGTTTAGATGTGTGAAAAAAGAAAGATGTGGCAGTCAGAAGCAAAGGAAGCCGATTATCCTGTCTGTCACAGTCTATAAAAAATAACCTGCAGCTGCTCTAGAGTCGTTTTTATTCATCCGTACTTCAAAAGATGGGTCCCAGAGCGAGATAATGAATTTGATTTTATTATTTTTCCCCAAGAAGAGTACTGGAACTAACATGGAAAGGAAATGCTGCAACGGTGTGTTAAAAGCGTATACTTCTTATTACAGGCTTTTCTAAACCAGCCGCCATCTTCTCTGGATACTTGGGAAGATCATTTTTATCCACCAGTCAACCAAAAGTCAGGTAATATTATTTTTACCAATGTCTGAATGTGTGTCTGAATGTTAGCAAAATATCTCTTGAAGCACTGAACAGATCAGACTCGTAAAAAATGATTAATGGATGGACAACTACTACAGATTAATGTTTGGAGTAAAATGTTTTCAAGATGGCTGCCACACAGGGCCGGAGTGGGACTCATTTTCAGTCCTGGAGTTTCAGGCCTCAGACCGGCCCACTTTAGATCACGACCTATTATTAAAATCATGTAATTATAATGGGCAGCACGGTGGCACAACTGGTAGAGCTGCTGCCTCTCAGCGAGCAGGTTACCCTGGAAAAAAAACTCCCTCACGAGGAAGAAACCTTTAGCAGAACCAGCTCAGGACAAGAGGACCATCTGCTTCGACCAGCTGGGTTTGGTAGGAACAGATACACAATGGCAGGTCAAGAATCACATGTTGATAGAAATAGTATCAAATGAAAACTATTCAATTTTAGCAAATTATTTAAGGACATTAGGTCAATTTGTCCTCTAGTAGTCTAAGCTGAAGGGTGCATTCACACCAGCCCTGCTTAATCTGCTTTAATCCAACTCTAGTCTGTTTGCCTAGAAAGTCCGGTTCGTTAGGGGGAGGTGTGAATGAGGTTGCCGATTGGTCAATTGCTGACACGTCTACCACAGCTAATCAACATTAGCTACCACAAAATGACTATACCACAGTTAATTTAACAGATGCTGGACCCAAACTTGATGTGTTCGTAGCTGAGCGTTAGCACCAATATGCACTCTGGGCATGGCAGCATGCTATACTGCACAGGATTGTGCATAACTACTGTATTTTAATGGTTTGACCAAAACAGCTGCGACCGCTTCATTTCTCAACATAAGATGATCTCAGTCTAAAACTCTGGCATGAAAAGTAGAAGACGATATGCATTCCTTCAAAGAAGGCTAAACCTTTAATGTTTGCCAGGTTGAGTGGAGAATACTATATAGAAGTATAAGTGTTATGTGTTTTCGTCATTCCCAGACAATGGCAAAATTAATTCTCCTAATTTAACTCATCGCACCTGGGATACACCCAGAGGAGCAGTGGGCAGCTATGCAAGCGCCCGGGGAACAATTAGGGATTACGTGAATCCTAATCCTTGAAAATCGTATGACTGCACAAATAAGAAGAGCGTTCTCATGGTGCAAAACATAATTGTTACTTATTCAGTGTAAGCAGCTAAATATATTCAGTGTGAGGGTTCAGCATGAGGTAGAGCTGCTGCCTCTCAGAGAGAAGGTTGCTGGTTCAAATCACGGTCCGGGGTCCTTTCTGGGTGGAGTTTGCATGTTCTCTCCATGCATGCGTGGGTTTTTTCCGGGTCCTCCAGTTTCCTCCCACAGACCAAAAACATGCATGTTAGGCTGATTGGTAACTCTAAATTGTCTCTAGGTGAGAGAGTGAATGGTTGTTTGTCTCGTTTGTCTCTATGTGTCCCTGTGATGGACTTGCGACCCGTCCAGTGTGTACCCCGCCCCTCGCACAGTCTGGACATGGGCACCGGCGACCCCCGTGACCCAAAATGGAAGACGATGGTAAAAGATAATGGATGGATGGGTTCAGCATGAGGGAAGAGACTGCCTTTATCTTTTAGCTCGTGCTCCTGTATTGCGAGCCGCTAGCGTCGCGTTACATCAGTGCCGACAGGTGTTTGGGTGGGGGTGTGTGCGGTTCAGTAGATGGGACGCTCGGTTCCGTTGATGGGGCGGGGTGCCCCGCTTGTATAATGGTAGGGG